TAACAAATTGTTAAAATTATCCTTGCCTAACATGGCTTACCATAGCTATGCTTCTTTTAGTCTTTGAATTTTGTAGAACTATTAAATTCCTTGTTAAACGAATAAACTAAAATATTTTTTTTTTTTTTAAAAAGAAAAAAAAATAAAGGGTATGAACAGAAGTATTAAAATTATGCAAAGCAAGCAAGTTACAGCAGAATCATTATTCAGCAAGTTTATTATTTTTGACATTACTAATCATAATACACGATAAATCTAACCGAACATCACCTTATAACTTTAATGACCTGAAATACTTCATAATCATCAATATCAAATTCTGTTGGAATATCAATGAAACTGTATGAATTCCTACAGGAAGTCCATAATTCATCATCACAAGAACTGATATCACCCCTGTACCCAAAAGATGGTCCAAACGTATTATCACAATAAACTGCATGTTTTTCACATCCCTTCAATATTCTACCTATTCTTACCGTTTGATATCTCTACAATTTTTAAAGGAAAATATAAAACTCTTCGACGAGTATTTATAACCTTCTTCATACCAATCTAATGGATTATAACCTCCAACGACATTATTGAAACCTTTGATTTTCGTGACAAAAATAGTAGCCCCCTTGCCATCACATTTATTATGAAAGAACTTTGTTTCCTTTTCGTCCCTACTGGCACGATAAAGCAATATGAAATCATAAGGAATATTTCTTTGCGGATTGCCTCTCCAATGAATCCATCTGTAAAATAAGAAAAAATGTTGAGGTTTAATTATAACTGAACCATACTTTTTTCTTGGAGGCAACAAATCGATATTTAATTTCCTATTTGGAATCATGTGAAATGTCAGAATGTATTTTAACAAATCATCTGGCAAAAAACTTTTAAAAGGATAGATCTTATTGAGAAATTTTCTGGTGTAATATATAAGAACCTAATTAATGAATAAACTCATTGAGAACCCTCTTCATGATCGTGAATTCCTTCTTGTTCCATTTAGTAACATCATGTAAAATAGTAGGTTCTTGTGCCAGACTTCATTTGATTAAATTATCCCAGATAATAATCTCGTCCAATTTCAAATCTTGTTTTAAAAGCAATTCCATTATACAGAGGGCCGCCAAAAGTCTCTGAACACCATATTTTAGGTGTGATTTTATGCCGTTAACATCATATGACTTAATAATACTGCGGTCATATGATATTTCAGACTTTGTTTATATAAATCAAATATAATAAATGCGTGTCCAGTTTGTTTATTTTGATTTTGAATCAAATAAACTTTAATCCCAAAAATACCTAAATAATGTCTAAAGAATTAATTGCAGAACAATGCGGTGCTATATTTTTTTGCCATCAATGCGGTAATAGTTACTGAACTATTACCATGACAGTCAGATGTGGTGTGTCAATAGTATTTGACACTTTGAAAAGAATGGATAACACTGGAATAACTAATTCGAGGCCTCGCTCTAGCTAACCATCCCTTCTTGGACCTTTACAATAAAACTGGCTTAAGAAATTTGTAACCAATAATAATGGAAAGAATCGTTTCTTATGTATTCCAGAAATTCAACAATTCTGGAATAAAAAGACTGGCCAAGTTATTTCAACTCGCACTATTGGCCGTGCACTTTGTGCAGTTAGATTAAATAATTATATTATTCGACACAAGCCTCTAATCTTATCAGTAAATATGGAGGCACATCTTGTATAGTGCTTAAAACATCAAAGTTGGACAAAGGACAATTGGTCAAAAGTTCTGTGAAGTGACGAGTCAACCTTTTCTCAATTTCAACAATCTCAGTACAGTAGAGTTTGGTGAGAACCTAGTGAAGAATACAACATTTCTTGCATTTCTGCAATAGTAAAGTATAGCCCAAGTCGAATATTTTAGGGATGCTTTTCGAGACAAAGTGTAGGACCTATTGTTCCATTATTTGGAATAGTAACTGGTACCTCACATGTTACTATTTTTCAAAAGTTTGTCATGCGAACCATGAGGCGTGTATTTCCAAATGGTGATAGTTGGTTCCAGGAGGATAATGCTCGTCCACATACATTGAAAGTTGAGAAGAAATTTCACACAGAAAATGGCTTACGCAAACTTTCTTAGTCAGCTCAAAGTCCAGACCTCAATCCGATTGAAAACCTGTGAGCAGATGTTAAGAAAAGCATTCGTAAAAGGAAAAAAATGCCTTCCAATATTGCTGAACTTGAACAACATATTAACAAGGCATGGAGAAAAATTCTGATACAAACTATCAAAAATTTAGTTGATAGTATGTTACAGCGAATTCAAGCTGTGATTAAAGTAAAGAGAGGTCCAACTAAGTATTAATTACTTAATACAAAACTTAGCAAATATCTTATTTTAATAAAGATATTAATAAACTTTTTTTATTCATATTATAAAATTTTAAGTTTTTTAATGAGCCATAAAGTGTTCAAAGACTTTTGGTAGCCCTTTATAGGTGCTTTTAAACTAAGAAATTTATCTGAATCAAATATTAATTCAGGTTCTTTATCGAGACAATTGTTACAAAGTTTGGTGAATGGCTCGTATTGATAGACAGTTTCAATAGTTTCCATGGGATCAAGTATTCTTTGATGCGAGACATCAAACTTTGTATATTAAGTTCATCGACTATCAGCAGTAGGTTTAATACATCATGATCTTTTAATACTGTTAAATCAATTTTTTCGTAATATATATATTTGATAATGATTTCAAATAACAAGGATGGAATATCAGGCTTTTTAAAGATAAACTTTCTATCCTTTATCTCAGCCCATTCCTTTGAGAACACTATGCGAAAATATTGTGATCTAGAATATAAAATACTCGAATACGCGTGTATTTCCTTAACTTTTTCATTTTGATTGGAATAGATTACAACATCATATCCTTCGCCAGTTTTAAACAATATTTCGTAATTCTCAGTGATTTCAGTTATTTCGCTAAACATTTTTTTGAAAGAATCAAATTTTTTTTTTGGTAATTTGAATTAAATATTCCTCCTAAACAATAATAATAATTTTTCCCTATGTATTAACCAATTTAGGTCTATTGAAGAACTTTTTTAGTAAACAATGATACAATTATAGTTTCAGGTACTAAAAAACATATAAAATTAATTTATCATTTAATGTGTAAGTTTAAAAAATTGATTCAAGTAAAAAAGTAAACTATGAAATGAAAGACCATTTTAAATACAACTATTGTCATTGTTGCATCTATTTGTCATTTTTTATATGAGAAAAACTTACATCGCATCACATAATTTTCGGGTCAAAAGAAAAAATTTTTTTATTACAAATATAATCATAGATATTAATATTAGATAATTTATATTAAATATTTAATAAAAAAATAATATAATATTATTGTAACTATTATGTTGGGATTAATGAACGATATTAATGTTAAAAATGAATCAAAAAAATAATAATAATAAATCAAAATAATCAAAAAATAATCATTATATGCTGAAAAAATAAAGAATCCTTTAAACTTTCATTAATTTTATATTCATCGATTAGAAACGCAAACCAAAAAATGTTCGTTCTATTTTATAAAATTTTTGTATTAACGCAAGATTTAATAATGCATGTAATGCATAATGGATTTTGGTAGTTCATTATTCATATCTACGGCAATATCACATAACACGATTCTCAATGGAATGAGTTATAAAATTTTTTGAAATTTTTATTACGATCTAAAATAGCGGAACATATTTATCAGATTTATCCGATATTAGGAAACTTTTCTCTAGTAGATATAATTATGATGTAATCATCTAAGTTGGGGAAGACCATGTGAAAGAATTCTTCATGCATTCATTGATTCTAGGAGTAAAGTTAACATACTTTAAGACTGAATTTTTAAAGGAATAGGCCAAAAAAGATTATGCCGTGATTATTTTAAAAAAGCTAAATATCTCTTCAGAAATCTTTGAACAGATTTTAAAGTTTTTATATACTTGAAACGTTCATTTAGATAATCTAGATGTAGTACAAATATTAATTAAACTGTTAATTGCAGCTGATAAGTGACCATATTCAACTTTTAATAAATAATAAATCTAAATATTTGAGAAATGAACCATTGAAATTCTTCAAGTTGTATTTCGTCATGAAACGTTTGAAGATTTAAGAAAAACTATTTGTTAGAAGGTATTTGCGATAATCCTAAAGCTTCTTTCGAAATCTCTAAAGTTTTCATCACTAGAAGATGATGATGTTATTATTTTTCTTTTAAAAATAAATAAACTTGAAATGAAAGAATTGGATATTTGCAAATGGTGTGTTTCAAAAATGTCTACCCCAAAAGAAAATGATCTATTTTACTGGACTTCAAATGATTTTGAAATTCTTTATGATTTAATTTCATATTTTAGATGGTTTTATATACCTTTAAAAATTTTTTTAAGTAAGGTTGATTCATATGAACCAAATATTTCTAAAGAAACTTTATAAAAGTAATCATTGGTTATTTTATGAATTCAGATACACCACCTGATACCTTAGTCCTCAAAGATGTATCTCATCTCTTATCATTGAAGCTTCTTTATCATGCCAGTAAAGACGAGTAAGAAAAAATTTGCCATATATAACCATTTAGATATTGGACCAGCATTTGATGAAAGATGGAATTTAGGTATTATAATAACATATACATATAATTTAATTTCAGCCTAATTTTAATTCGATTTTGAATAATTTAATTTTTTTTTATATATATATATATTAAAATTTAATTATTTTAAAATATAAATTGTAAATATTAAAATTTAAAAATGTCATTTGATTTAAAAAAAGTAGGTATCGGGTTCTAAAAAATATTATTCAGCAACTTGTTCTTATTGTGAATACTATTGGACAACAGCAAAAGTGTCAAAACTCAAATAATATCTTGCATATAAATGTAAAAAAGTTGATTCTGATCTAAAATCTCTGTTTTGATGATGTTAAAAATAATTGTAATGATTCAGATAATGATAGAAATGATACTACTACAAAATCTAATAAGAAATAAAAAATCAACTGATAAATCGCAGACTGATATTAACAACTATTATGAAAATTTTCCTACTTCATTAATCAAAAATGATCAAATCAATAAAGCATTGGCAAAATTTATGTATATTACAACTTGCCATTTAGCTCTTATTGAGCATCCTTTTTTTTATTGAATTTATTAAAATAATATAATCTACTTACAATCTTTCAAATCATTTTGTTCTATCTAAAACTCTTATTATTCAAAAAATATCTAGAATTAATCTTAAAATTAATAGGATAATTAATGAAGAAAATAATATTATATTGCTTCACTAGGCAATCAATATATGATTATTGTTTAATTATTGAAGAACAAAAAAAATATCTCTGGTATTCAAAGAGTTATTCTGATATTTCCCATCATAATGAAGTATTTCTTGGTGATGAATTCATCAAAATTGTGGATGAAATTAATTCTGAAAAATTGGTTGCGATAGTTTCAGATAATGCATTTGAAGCTCAAGTTGCATGAAGAATTTTGTGTGAAAAATACCTGCATATTCTAAATATACGGTATATTGCTCACTGTATTAATTTAATTACAAAAGATTTATGCATCTACATATATGTCATAGAAATAGTTCAAAAAATTGGTGTTATACACCAGTATTTTACAATGTCTTATGCGGTGATACTATATGAAGTCAATCCTACTGCACTATAAAGATTGACGAATGATTAACGTTATTAACATCATTAGCATTTTTAACTTAGTTAACATTTTTATTTTATTTAT